CCTAAACTATTCGCTACAGAAAAAGTTACCAACAATGAACTCAAATATCTGTTGATTATTTGTTTTTTGAGTCTCCAAAGCACAAACTGCACAAAAGCCTACCCCATGTGTTTCTTGCCCTCTGTACCATCTCATTCTTAGAAAGGTTTGATTTGGCTCACAGAACTGGATAGAGCATGAAACCGCATGCATGTAAATTTCAAATAAGAGTGTTAGGAAATCAGGGCAATGCAGAGATGAGAGAAGAGACGGAGGAAAGCAGGGGCAATGTGAATGCACAGCACAAAAGCACCAAGATGCCCTTACTTTTCCATGGGCCACCAACTTGGCTCCCAGCAACCACCACAGGAAGAGACATAGTCCCTATTCTAATTCAGAATGTTTACTGGATGTTCACCAAGAGGACCATGATGATCTCTGGTGCAAAGAACTATTTATTCTATGAGTGTTTGCACAAAATGCATCAGGTGAATTGTAATGAAGCAAGACCTCAACAACCTCCAAGCTGTTGGGAGGAACTCTGGTAACACTGACACATGGATTCAAAGTCTTCCATTGTGGGTCAACTCCATATCCTAAAGTAGAAAACCCCAGAAATTCTATGACGTTCCAAAGTTCCAAAATAAGCACATACTATCCTAAAGACGTCCACCAGTAACTGCTGGGGACTGGTTCCAGAAGCTCCTGTGGATACCCAACTCCACAGATGCTCAAGTACCTTGTTTAAATGGTATAGCACTTGCACATGACCCCCACACATCCACTCTGCCCCATATGCTTTCAATCGTCCTAGAATACATGTGATACATAATGCAATGCAAATGCTATGAAAAAAGTCACTCTACAGTGTTATTTAGAAAATGACAACAGGAAAAAAGATAGTATACGTTTGGTATAGATGCAGTTTTCTTCCTAAGGTTCTTGTTTTGTTTTGTTTTTTAATACTGGGGATTGAACTTAGGGGCGCCTAACCACTGAGCCACATCCACAGCCCTTTTTATATTTTATTTAGAGACAGGGCCTTGCTGAGTTTCTTAGAACCTCGCTAAGTTGCTGAGGCTGGCTTTGAACTCGTGATCCTCCTGCTTCAGCCTCCCTAGCCTCTGGGATATACCACCAGGCCTGGCCTTCCTCACTATTTTTCATACATGTCTGCTAAAATTCATGGATATGGAACTTGTGGACATGGAGACCGATAGAACTTTTATTATCAGAAAACAAATATTCTGTAAATTAAAGAAAATAAAGGAAGCAGCACCCTTGATAGCCTGGTACTTCTTTGATGTAGAATTTGCGCCAAGACAAGACTCCATCCATCCCAGCCTAGCTGTTCCTATGCGGCGAAGCTGGGGCCAGGATGAGACCAGGCACAGTGGCTATTCTGAGACCTGTAGCCCGGGAAGGGGGTGGGGGGGGGAATTTCATCACTTTGGTGATGAGGCTCCAGGTGCTGACTATAAAAAGCCCTGGTGAATGGCGATGATCATTTGTCATCTTTTAAATGGAGTGCCACAACTTTACATCTAGTTCAGCAACATGAGTAATCCCCAGCCTGGAGCCCTGATGCTCACTGCTTTAGGCCCCGTGCCTAGCACAAAGCCCGGTGCAGGTCTGAAGTCCACATTCATCCAATGACTGACGTGCCTGTCTGAGAGACGCTGCGGATATTCTGGGGTTGTCCTGGCAAATTCTTCCCCAGCTGGGCCTCACCTACAATGTCCCAGCTCTCACCTGTGATAATCAGTCAGGTGAGAATAGGGGCCCAGACATGGGCACCGAGCTCCTGAGAGTGCATCAAGGAAAAGACATTAAAAATTGAAAAGGAAAATTCTGAACAGCCAGGTGTCTCCTCTTGCTCTGGACCCATCATTGCAGGGATAAACATTTGGACAGCTCAAGACAAACACAGCTTGGGGTTCCTAACAGGCAGCGCAGCTTCCTCTTGTGTGCCGTGACTGCAGCGTAAAGTGTGTTCTGTGTGCAAGCAAGGCCTGCAGGCCTAGTCTCAGGCAGCTACCTCCTGGAACTCAAGATCCTGACCGCCGTACAGCAGGCCTGCTCTGCTCTGAGGGCCCAGCAGCCCCGGCAGGACATTCTCAAGGGGACCTTCAGAAAGCAACTTCAGCTGGCATCTTGGGAAGCCATAGGCGAGGGGGCCAGGGCAGCTCTGCTTCTACATGCAAATGTTAAGAGGGTCAGGCCAAGTGGCCTGAGGAACCAGTTGGCATCACGGGGGTAACGTCAAAATGTCATAGCCAAAGCAACAGCTGGCAGTGGCTTGGCAAAGAAAAGGCATTATCTTCAGCTGAAGGCACAGCAGGCTGGGAGTCTGGAGGCCCACAGTCACCAGGCAGGCTCCGTCACCTTTGGCAAGTCAAGGGCCTCCCATGCTTTGGTTTTCTCGGTTGTAAAGAGAGATGGGTTCCTGGGGAAGGCTGGCTTGCTTCCTTGTGAGGAGCCCCCGTAACCCAGCAGCAGGGCAGGAAATGCAGGATGAATAAAATGACACAGCATGCCCCATCACAAGAGGCTCTCAAAGATGTGAGGGGCGGCACAGCAGTCACATCGAGGGGTCTGTGGGGTGTGCGTGGCACCAGGAATCCCACATGCACCACATCACCCCATCTACAACTCGGTGTTGGGTAAGGCCTTGCCTCTCAGGAGCCACGGCCATCCCCCTCCCTGGGCTCTCACTGACACAGGGCTCACTACCCTCACCTGTCCTAAGACCTCCAACTTCCGCCTTCTCCCTAGGTCTCTCCGTATCCGCCTACTGTCCGTATAACAACCCCTCACGGTACCTCTCCCTCAAAATCTCCTAGTCTTTTATACCCAGCCCAAATTCTCCAGCTTGGCCTTCGAAGACCTGACAAGCTGTCTCCAGTCCCCTTCCTGATCTTTCTTGCTCTCGAATGCCCTTGTGTTCGTGGCCCTGGGCCTCACAGGTGGGGTCCCTTCTTCCTGCAATGTTCCAGGCTCCCCTCTGCTCCCGCAGCTTGCTCACTGTGGAAGGATTTCCTCTCTTTTGACTTTCAGGATCCTAACTCTCCTCTCAAAGCTCCACTCCAGAGCTTTCCATCTCACTCAGTATTCTTCTCAGCTTCTGGATCCCCGGAGAGGTCCTTGTTTTCGAGCTTTAAGGATCTTCTTTTGGGGGGTATCTTCTGGACCACCAAGTGTGTGCCTGGTTCATTTAACTTGGAGGCCTCCTCCCTGGCGTCTCCTGCCCCCTCCTACAGCCTCCCCAATACACGAGCACACACACGCAGCCTGGACTCCACATCTCTCCTCATGCACTCTTTCGGCCATGGCCATGCACGGTGCAGTAGAATCAGGGTCATTCCCTGTATCCCACAGGACTGAGAAGACACTTGACCCAGAGTCAGAACTTGGTACCTCTTGGCTCATGCTGATGAAGACAATGAGCACTAACTATGAGGGTCACATGTGAGGAGATCGTGTTCCATTGCACAACCAAGCTGCCTTCCCTTCTGTGTCTGCCATCACCATGTGCATTGAGGGCACAGCCGCCATCTTAACCACATGAATGTCAGACCGACTCCAACCTTGGTATCTCCCGAGCAAACTTCACTCACACACAGCCCAAAGGAGCCATGGAGCCTTCGCCTAGGAACCAGAAGGGAGGATGACGATGGCCACACAGCACAGCCAACAGGAAGCACCTGCACATCCTCAATGGACACGCTCTCCCCTGGGCCTCCCCCCTCTGTCTTCCTCCTGCAGTGACTGACCTCACCAGCTTTTCTCTCCTCCTCCAAAACCCCGGCCTTGCATCTCTCCTCTTCCTGACCTGTCCTCCATGGGTCTCTATCAGCCATGACTTCACAGCCACAAACCTGACAGTGGCTCCCGCAGTTCCCAGGGCCCTGTCCCCCAGGGAGGCCATCTGGCCAGCCTTCTTTGGATTCCTGGAGCAGGGAGTTCAACATCTCCTCCAAAGGTCTGTGAGGGGTTTATCCCAAACACAATGCAGAACTCCCCCCAAGAAGGATGAGTTAAAGTCTTGCTCCCTCGCTCCGTCCACAATCACCTCCTCCCTGAGACTCTACAGAGAATCACCGAGGTCATAAGACCCATTCCCAGCATCCCTGGCTGATCTTGGATCTCTGAGCCTCACTCTGGGACCAGGAAGGGTGGCCCCGCACCATACAGCTTCTAGAGTCACAGAGAGAAGTCACCCCGAAGGCATCGTCCTTCTCAGGGAAACTCCCGACCCAGAGCAGACTCAAGAAAACCAGTGATCAGGGCCGGGAGACCCCTGTTGCTGGCAGCGGTGGCCGTCTCGTCCCTGAGTGCCCAGGTATTCGGTCACTCTAAACCTGTCGCACCCATGATCCTCCCCTGAAACCAGGGGCTCACGAGGCCAGTCAACGAAGCCGAGCTCTGTACAAGCAGACCAGAGAGAAGCAGGACTCGCTGCAGACAGGCTTCGGCAACTTTGGCATCTGAACTAAGGGCATGTGGGCAGTGCTCCAAGCACAGGGGTCGTGGACAGCTTCAGCATGACCATGATGGTGAGTGTCCACCAAGGGCAGGATCCAGTTTACACAATGCCTAATAAGACACTGCCCCCAAAGGAGCTCACTTCACTGCCCAGCCGCCAAAGGACAGCAGTGACATCCCCAGAAGGCCACATGCACACACACATATACACACACACAGCACCCTGGACCCTGGGTGTACAGGTCCTCCATAGGCACCTGGCATGTGTTTCTTGGCCCCGCTTTGTTCTAAGATGGTCCAGGTGTGTGTTTTTGTGTGTGCGTGTATGTGCGTGTGTGTGCACCTGTGTGTACATCTCTCCTGCAAGCAGATAAACTTAAAAGTGTGCCCTCCAATGGGCTCCCAGCCCAGGCTCTGCAAATCCCTCCCGGGCCACCAGCTTAGCTGGAGGAGGCCCAGCAGGACACCACATCTCACAAACAGAGCCATCAAGGGCACAGGTGAGGCCTCCTGGCGTGGGGAGGCCGGGGACTCACCAGGACTCTGCCGGTCAGCGTCTGGGCGGATATCATCACCCCGGCCCAGTCCTTCACGGAGGTCATCCAGCCGACCTCGGCTGCCACCGCCTCCTCTTTCTCATCCACTGGCTTGAGAGTGCCATCAGCCTGGGTGGAGCCATTGTTAATCTTCTGGGCCTCCTGGCAACAGAGAGAAGGAGAGTTGGAACCTAGGGAACAACTGGATTTAAATACACCCCTTCCCAAAAGGAATCGAAGCCCAAGGGTGGCCCCCACTGAGGTGGGGAGGAGGGGTGGGCGAGGGCTTCGACTTTGTAACGATCAGTTTTTAAAACGTCTTTTCTCAGCCAGGGCGCGGTGGTGCATGCCTGTCATCCCAGCAGCTCGGGAGGCTGGGACAGGAGGATCACAAGTTCAAAGCCAGCTTCAGCAACAGCGAGGTACTAAGCAACTCAGTGAGACCCTGTCTCTAAATAAAATACAAAATAGAGCTGGGGATGTAGCTCAGTGGCTGAGTGCCCCTGAGTTTAATCCTTGGTACCCCAAAAATAAACAAATAAAAGTTTTTCCTTTTAAAATACTTTTGCAAATGAGACATTATTCTCTGTCCATTTTAAAGAGAAAAGCCCCCAACCTCAGGAGGAAAAGCAACCTGTCCAGGGTCCCAGGGCAGTGGGAGAGGGTGTGGTCAGTACACCATGGAGCTCGCCTGCCCAGTCTTTGTGATCCTTGCATACCAGTACACTCACTTTCTTTTAAAGACATTCCCATCTCTTCCTCTCCATCTATGTGATTCAAAAGGGACTAATGGCCTCACACTGTTTCAGTCAGTCCATTCTATTCTCCTGGTAACAGTGTCTGGGCCAGGGATGGTCATGTGACCCATGCTCACCCAATACAACTCAAACCCAGAAAATTTGCTGGAGAGAGTAGAAAAAAGCAATCCTTCTGTGAGAATAAAGCCACTGTGGGAGGAAAGTAGAAGCTATAGGATATCAGTGTCATCACTTGAATACCTGGATCCAGCTAGGCCTGAAATCCATACCAGACCTTTTCGGTTTAGGAGAGAATAAATTTCCCTTTACAGCTTAAAAAGTTCCTTAAGATAAAAAGGCTGACTTTATCAGATGACTGAACTCCACACAGGGTTCTTGATTATACAAGTTTGCACACAATATGCTCTCTGCTGGAACACTTTTCTCCCATCAATGCTTGGGGCTTGCTCCCTCATCTCCTCAAGTGCTTATCTATCCCCTTCTCAGTGAAGTCTTTTCTGGCTACCTTTTTAAATTGCAAGTCTTTCCTTCTATGGCACTTTTCTGCTTGATTTTTCCACACAGCACTTAAAACCCCTAATTCACTCCACAATCCATTTACTCTTCCATTTACTGTTCGCCCCCCAGCCCCCCACTGCTGTGGCCCCAGTACCTAACAGAGTCCCTGGCACAAAGTTGGTTCAATAAGCATAAAGGAATGAGTGAAATGTGTATCAGCCCTTCATCAACTGTACAGCCTGGGCTGGGGCTGCCAGACTTAAAACAAAACAAAAAAACAGGGCATCCAGTTAAATTTGAATTTCAGATAGACAATAATATTTTTAGTTTAAGTATGTCCCAAATATTGCATGGGACATACTTGCACCAAACTTTAGTATTTATCAAATTTGCAAACGTAACTGGACACACATTGAAACACCCACTGAGATTATGACTGCCATGATGATGTGTAAAAAGATGACAGCCAGCAAATTATATTCATCATTTAAAACGCTGGAGTTGATTTTCCAAAGCAAATCCTTGGGCCTTGAAATATGGGGAGTATCAGAGGCAGAGGTGAAAATCTTTGCATGGGAGGACCTGGGGCCAAGTGAGGCCAGGGGAGTGCAGAGGCCGGTGGGGAGGCCAATGGGGAGGCTGGTGGGGAGGTGCTGAATGAGGCAGCCCAGGGCTCGGCCACAGCAGGCAGGAAGCTGCTCCTGATGGTGCTTCTCCCCTCTGGCCGCCCTGGCTGGGGCAAGCTGGGGATGGAAGAAGCTGCACAGAAGGCTGACATTTGCTTCCAAGTGTGTCAGGCCCCAAGGACTAGAACAAACCCAGCAGGAGCCTGGGAGGGGAGGCCACTGGGTGGGCATCTTTGAAGGTCACCTGCTGACCAGTGTGGCACCAAGCCTCTCCTAGACCAGTCTTAGTGGCCTGATAGGCCATGTCCCGGTCTGTGAGACTCAGCCCCGTGAAGCTGAACAAGTGGGTCTCCAGGGAGGAGGGAGGTCCCATCCATGGGCAGCCATAGTAACCAAAGGTGCAAACCCAGAGGGCAAATCTAGCTCTCGTGACTCTGTGGGACCTCCCCTGTAAGGGACAATCCTGCCCGCTCCACAGGCACTGGGGTTAAACAGCACCCAACGGCACATAATACATGCTCAACCCATTGGTCCCACCACCCCTTCCCCTGCCCACTCCTGGACACTGCAGAGGGGTGGCTGTCCACCTTGAGCTGGTACCTGGGGCCTGGGGAGGGCCTGTGAAACACAGGGGGCTGGCCACGCCAGAACTGTGCTTCTACCCAGTTCCCAGGCAGTGCCCATCCGCTGACCTGGGGACCCCATTCGGAGAACCACACCCTGACCATCCTGGCAGTGCCCGAGGAGCCCTGCCTGATCTGAAAGGGGACATGATGGTACCCAGCTGTCTCCTGGCCTTTTCCTTCCTCGGGGCCTCCTGCTTCAGTCAGAACTGGACAGCTGGGGGGAGAAGGCCCTCAGAGCAAGGCCCTGTGCTTCCCCCCGAGTAAGGCCCACCAGGGGTGTGTCTGAACTGCTTCCTGCTGCCACTACTCTCTGCTCCTGGATTCGGGCTCCATGGCCACCTCTGGGGGAGGGAACTCCAGGAACAGCCCAGAAGGCGGGAGGCCCCATGCATCAATAATCCCCGGCGCGGGAGGCGTGTGGCAGATTGTGCGATTTTGTGCGATTTTGCAGCCCTCTCACCTATTGTTTTACAAGGCATTCATTATTTTAATTACTTTATGGTAGGCAAGGAAAACAGACTGAAGGGAGATAATGCCCTTGTTATTATTTGCTTACACTAGATGTTTCCAGCTTAATTACCACGTGGGGGAGCCAGGATGGGGGAGGCGCCGTGGGGAGATCTGGGGAGCAGAACCAAGGCCCTGCCAGCGGCCAGTACCCAGCCAGAGGCCTCCCCACCACCGACCTACTCTGCCCTAAGCACCTGCAGCAAGTGTCATGACCCCGTGCACCAGAGAAAAGCGGGCAGAGGCCTGGAAGGGTAAAGTGGTCTGGCTGGGGACATACAGGAGACAGGAGGGTGCTGGGGCAGAGCCCATTAGAATGTAATGGCCACCATTTATCAAGCCAGAACAGGGCACCAACAATTAGCTGTTTCCTGTGCATTTCCTCGTGTAAACCTTATAATAATTCCACAGGCAGGTGACGGCGAGCTATCCCCATTTTACAGATAACTGAAAGTAGGTGACACAGGAGACAGAATAGAGCCTGAGAGCTACAGCTGGAGGCAGGGAGCCCACGGGGGATGCATTCTGCTCTGTCACTGATCATCTGGGTCCCCTGGCTCTCACTGTGTAAAATGGGGAGACACACACCACTCCCAAGGAGGCGCTGGGAATTTTTCTTTTTTCTTTTTTTTTTCAATAACAGGGATTGAACCCAGGGGTGCTTAACCACTGAGCCACATCCCCAGCCCTATTTATTTTTCATTTTGAGTCAGGGTCTTGCTGATTCTCAGGGCCTCGCTAAATTGCTGATGAGGCTGGATTTGAACTTGTGATCCTCCTACCTCAGCCTCCTAAGCCTCTGGGATTATAGGCAATCGCCTCCACTGGGAATGTCAAAGGAGGTAGGTAGTGTACAGTGCATGCACAGGGCTCCACATGAAGTAGCTACAGCCGCAGCAACATGGCACCGGGTGCTTCCTGGGGTGGTCTGTTGACCCCACATCAGCTGGGGCTCTGGGTGGGACACTGAGTGAACCCTTATTAAACCTATACAGAATGGAGGTAAACAAGTGTAGTTTCTCAAGGTGGTTTCCCTCCAACTAAGCACTTGGCCCCTGGAGGAAGTGCCCTGGGTTCTAGAGAAAGGACATCCCCCACCCAAGACAACTCGGAGGGGGCCAAAGCCAAGGGCCTCTTCCATCCTTTATGGCTCTAAGTTCCATCGGACCAGCCTCCGATGTCTGAGATGGGGAGACCTAGGGCCAGAGTGAGTCCAGTCCTCCACTCTCCCTGCGTCCCCACCACACGTTGCCTCAGAAGGGAACAGTGCCATGAGTACCCAGCCATCCCAAACGTCCCACTGCCCACTGCAGAGGAAGACCGGCCACCACCCAGGGAGGACCTCTGAGCATGGGCAGACTGCTCCAGTGTCAGCCAGAAAATCACCGTGTGTGCAGGTCCACGGGTGTGCACGTGTGTGAGAGTATATAAGAGAGAAAGACCCTGCTGGCCACATGCCCCAGCTGCCCTAGTCTCAAGAGGACAGCCACCAGATCCTTAGAAATAGGTGAAAGGACGCTTTGGGGGTAGGGAGAAGAAAATAGAGGGAGTGAACAGTAGAGAAAAAACATGAAGGTTTGGGGCAGTGGTTCAGGCAGGCAGGAGACTAGGCCAGAATGCCAAGATCCCGCTGGAACCTTCACCAGAGCCCCCAGTCCCAGCCCTGGGAGGACCTCTGAGAAAGGAGCTCAGCAGGCTGGGAGGCCCCTCTGCAGCCGTCACTCAGCTGCTGCCCCCACCCTGCCCTTCCCTGCAGAGTTTGCAAAAGCAAGCTGCAGCTGCCTCCTGGACCCGCATCCAGGCTCAGTGCCCAGAACAGAGGCAGGGAGGTTCACAGTGAGGTGCAGGCACAGGAGGTCGGGGACACTGACCAACAGAGTGGCCTGGTCCTTACACAGCCTTCTCCTCATTCCTCTTGGCAGTGCTCCCCACAAGGACTTCCTGTTGAATGGCCACAGAGGGCATCCCCTCTCCTAGATCGCCTGTGGCCAAGGGCCTGAGGGATCCCAGGCACTTGGTGCTCACCATCCTGACCACCCAGCTCTTAGGTATTTGGGCATTTCTACCTGAATCTCAAGATGAAAGACCAAAGCTTGAGAAGGGACCTCAGGATGCCACCCTCCCCTGACTGCACAGATGAGAAATCA